GCACCACGATGTGTCTATAGTCGAAGCAGCCAGAAGAGCACGAAGCAGGACCTTGTACCTCCCTCGACACTCGTAGCTGTAAAAGAGGATGTACAGCAGAAGAAGTTTTGTGGACATGTAATCAGAAGAGGTGCGCTCACAGTGTTATAAGTAAAACGGAGGTTTTTTTATTTATAATCAGCAACTGCGATTCAGGCCATATTCTCTGTAAAATAAAGGAACCTTTCCCTCGCCCTCACTCATATAGACTGTATATATGGCTGGACACACATTTTTAGACCAATCGACATTCGCTGGATGATATGATCAACATCACAACGGCCACTTTTACTTCCTATGACCCATGACTTTACCTGCTACCTATTGTAAGCTGGGCCGGTCATTTGGGGAAAAGAGGGGGGGGGGATTTCCGGCTTTATTCGGATTTGAACACACGAATTCCGGATCCCATTCTCTGTAGATTCCAATATATTCATTGTACAGCCAAAAGCAAATCAGGGAATAGCACGCATCCTTGTTGGACAGCCCTGTACACGCTCTAAAATGTTCCTAAATTGTTGGTGCTTCTTACAACTGCTGTTTGCTACTACCATCCTTCTGATTGTTCTCGGATCCTGTTCATCAACGCTTAGTTAACTGTTGAAATAGTTTGATAGCCACGTTTCACACGGACAAACATGTTTTTATATAATGCATGAGTGCTAGTTTGTTTTTGATTCTACATGTCTTCCTAACAGTGTCCTCAGAATGTATATGGTACTGGTTATGACATATTCATCTACAAATCTATATTGGTCTTCACTAATTATGATTTATCACGTTTAAATACGCCTCATATGTATTTTTCATAATAGCTTTGTTGCACGACTGATAACACTTTTTGTACAATGATTTTAACATTTTAAATCGCTGGTTTCTGCAACAGAAATATGAATACGAAGTATACTATATCATTAGAAATCTTCATACTGTCATAGATATCATCTAACGATTGAATTAGTATTTCTGTTCTAAAATCTGTTTAAAACCTCAATCTCCTCATGGTGCCTTTCCTTTCTGTGCGAACGATGGGCGACTGGTTAATGGTTTGGTTTATATAATGGATCAACATCATGGCACAGGGGTAGTAACCCATAAGTGCTCCCTTCTACTTGTAACTCAAGCCTAAATCCATCTTACTACCCAGAGACCAGGGGAAATTACTAGAAGTCCGCGTTAAAAAAAAATCCCAGCCTTCACAGGGGCCTGAACCCGGGACCTTCAGCTGACGCCATGTCTCGTGAAGATGGGCGACAGGAAGGGTCCACTGTAAGATGAACCTGTGGGGTAATTTATGTTTTTTTTTTTTTTTTCAGTGCTGTTAATTACAGACTATTCGGGTCTCTGGATGTGCAGAAGAACAAGACGTTTTTCATAAAACTAACAGATTTTGAGGATCCGAAGAGATAGGGAATAGAAAGCAGGTTACTGAAAGAAACACACAATGAAATATTTCGATCATATTAAAAATTATAGCAGAGTGAAAAGATGGCGGCAAGTGAGCAAGAGTTAGTCAGTGATACAGGTGGGAAGATAATATTAAGAAATGGACTGAAATCGGTCTCAGAGAAGGCAACAACAGGGAGAACTGTAGGTAGGTTAGTCAGATGTACCCCATCAGGACATCACACAAGCTATAAACACCCGGTGACCGAAAGTGCCACCATGCGGATAACGATCACCCATGGAGAGGTCCCGGAAACCCCGTTCAGCTGGTAGGTCATATTTATAGCCCCGCTATATTTAGGGTCCCCGGCACAAGCCAGGGTGGGGCTTCAAAATAACCACACACAAAAATGCATCCTACAAGGGGACGGCTTTTACAAAAGGGAGAACGGAGACCGTTGGTGATCCATTGCCAACGTTTATTGTGAGATTTTCGATACACTAACCTGCACCTTGATGTCCGTCTGCTCCTGTGAGACTGTCTGGGAAATTGCGAGATGGTACATTTTTGTCCGAAAGGATACGGTGTCACACGATATCTAGAAGGGCTACCTTTTCGACCAGCCCTGTCATCGTTTAATGCCTTGACATCTGTTAACTTCGAACAAGGGGAAACGAGTTATTACATTTTGTTTGTAGTAGAGTTTTATTTTATCTCTCATTATTATTCCCCTTTTCCTCTTTCCTTCTTCTTCTTTTTCTTCTTCTTCTTCTTTTTCTTCTTCTTCTTCTTTTTATTATTATTATTTCTCTTCTTCTTCTTCGTCTTCTTCTTCTGCTGTTGCTGCTGCTGCTACTGCTGCTGCTTCTTTTTCTTCTTCTTCTTCTTCTTCTTCTTCTTCTTCTTCTTCTTCTTCTTCTTCTTCTTCTCCTCCTCCTCCTCCTCCTCCGCATCCTCCTCCTTCCACCACCACCACCACCACCACCACCACCACCACTACTACTACTACTACTACTACTACTACTACTACTACTACTACTACTACTACTACTACTACTACTACTACTGCTACTACTACAACCACCAGCACCACTACCACCAGCACTACTACCACCACCACCGCTGCTACCACTACCACCACCATTACTATCACCACGATACCACTTCTACTACCACTTCTACTACTACCACCACCACAACTACTACTAGTACTGCCACTACTACTACTACTACTGCTACTACTACTGCTACTACTTATACTATTACTTCTACTTAGTTTGCATTAAAACTATTTTTAATTGTCAGTCACATATTTCGGACATTGCTGTACCACTTGTGCGGGAATGAGTCTCAGTAGATTCAGTCAAGCAGGTTCCATCTTCATAATGGTGGTTGGCTGCAATGGGTTCCCAAAATTCCCTGTCACTTTTACCGGCTGTATATATACACACACTCTCTCTCTCTCTCTCTCTCTCTCTCTCTCTCTCTCTCTCTCTCTCTCTCTCTCTCTCTCTCTCTCTCTCTCTCTCAGACTGTTGATGCTATCTTTTCACTTGTATCACGTTACTAGCCTGTCTTCAACTTGTTAGTTTTGTTACATTAACTTTTTCGGGTGCTTGGGAACACATCATCAATTCATCTATAACTGATTTAACTTTCCTCTGGTATTAACAAATTGAAACACTTGTTTTAAGTAACGCAAACTTTACTATAGCTACTTTTAACCTAACTCAGCGGGTAATTTTATGATTTAAAATGTGACTGTGATGTTTTATATAATAGCCACAGGGCGCAGAGATAGTAAGCAAATATTTGGTTAATGTTAATAATGGAGAGGACAACAGATGATTAAAATAGCGTGTCATTTAGGAACAATCTTTGCTCTTAAAATTACAGTTGGCATGTTGTAGTTTATATAGGGTGTATTTTTAAAGAGTTTTTGTTGTGAAATATTGCGGTTCCTATTTTTGTAATCACCGTCTATGGAGTTAATGTGTGTCGGATTTGGGTACTCATTATAGCAATATTCCAAATCGATTCTCATCATCATCATCATGTGCCCTGCCAACTGGCGTAGGCGCTCACGCGTCTACACAGACCATGATTCCTAGTTGCCTGAAAAAGCTCTCCTGGTGATTTCCCTCCGTGCCATAGTTTCAGCCCATCGAGCATCATCTCTCTTGGTCTGCCTCTACCCCATCTTTCACTGATCTCTTCAGTTGTCACGATGTTCTCCAATGTCTCTCTTCTCATTATGTAGCCAAAGAACAGTGTTTGTCTCTTTCTTATTGTTGTTTATAGAGATCTACTTTCATAAGCTTTTTTTTTTTTAAGCAATCGTTGTTAGTTACTCTGGCCGTCCAAGGTATTCGTAACATTCGTCTCAGAAACCACATCTCTGTTGCTTCCAAATTCTTCTTAATTTGTTCTCTGACATTCCCAGATTCGCTGCCATACAGCAGAACAGGTTCTATGTAATATTTTAGCACCCTCTTTCTGACATTCGATCCTACTGGTAAAATGTCTAACAATGTTAGGATAAGGCACTTGAGTATCAGGAAATGACAATATAACTTGTTGAACAAGCACATTTGAATACCTGCCACCGTTACGGAACACACGCTCAACCAAAAAATACTCCTTCTTCAATAGTTGACACCATTATAGCTAAGACCAGCTGCTAAAACACTCTTATTTAGCAGTGATACTATAAACTAACGGTTACGTGGCGCTTGAAACGTGACGTAATACACACATTTAATTGCAGTGGGTAAATAATTGATTTCAAAAAGTCTTCAGTCATTAAACACACACCATATAACATAAGGTTGCCATATCTGCGCATCTGAGCTCAAAGCATAAGATTTAAGCAAAACATTAATTAGATTAATTCTTGTATAGCATGCTTCTTGAGGTACAATAGTTTTTTTTTTTTTTTTTTATGGGAACACGGAATGCACACGAGGATAGGAGTTACCCACAACGTAGAGTGTTTTTTTTTTTTTTTTTAATGCGTCAATATGACGGAACTGTTTTACCCATTTGGTTAGGTCGACGTTAGTCTCCACAAATAAAGTAGGTCATTTTTCATTCACAAGTTTGTTGGGCTAGTCAACTTTCCTGAAGATTACGGGTGTGCCCCCTCTCTTGCTTGGTTTTTGCGATGTCTTGCATTACGTTTTCATTCCGAGAAAGAGAAGGACTGTGACATAGGTTGCAGCACTCTTCAGGCGGATTTTGTTAGACCCAGTTTCTCCATGTTTTCGGAGTGTTAAAAGCGCATGCGTGCTGAAATATACAACACGCGACACCCTATAACCTTGTGCAAAGTTTACGGGGCTCAGGAACTGTCAATCAGAAGTGAGCTACAGTGTATATGAGTGGGGTCTGGGGAGAACAACGTCGAACTTACCTTTCCTTTTATTTATTTTTTTATTTTTATTTTATTTTTATTTTTTTCAGCATCTACCTTTTTATCAACAGTTTCTCCAGAATCCCTGTATTTAATTTTTGAGACGTAAATGATAGACCAGCTAAACAAGATCAGAACGTGCACTGGACTGTACGTTCTTACCGAAATCTTTAATACAGGTATGACTGGCAGTTTTATGACCTGTTCGTTAGAGCAAGTCTTCGGCGATCGTCCTGATTTATTCTTAACAAACTTGCCCTTCCTGTCTCTTGATATTGTTCGTTCTGATCGCCAGGCATTTACGTTGCTGTCGAAAATACATGACGTAGACTGTAAACGGGATTGTTTACTATCTAACGGATGTGTTACTGTGTCTGAAGGTGTAGTTTTTGCGCGCCAGGTCTCACTCCTCTCGTTAGCTTCTGCTTGATTTGGTATATCTCCATTGAAATACCCACTCTGATTCGAAGACGTGCCTGTCTGCGAGTTTGACAAACATCCCCTGTGTAATTTGTACAGTGTCTCTGATGACTTTGCAACTGTGCTTCTGGCGTTAGTCTCATTCCAGGTGGAGGCGGCTAGGGTCCTCTCAGTGCCCCGGGATAGCTGTCTTTCTATCTGTTTGACGTTTAACTGAGTGCTTGGGATCGGCTTCACGTTGTGAGAGTGTGGTCGTTTCCTCTTCTTAGTCATGCCCACAGAGGAAGGCAGCAGTCTGACAAAAAAGTTATATAGTTTAATTAGAGAAAACAGAGGAATTTGCTTTAATCTATACAGTAAAAGTAAGTAGGTAAAGATCCCTTTTCACGTCTTTTAGGCGCATCAGGCATATGGAAAGAGCGCCTATATTTTTACAGACCAATCGAGTATAGGAAGATAATGTGGTCAGCATTACGCCGGTCGTCTTTACTTCCGCGGGACATACATCCTGGTACCCATTTTAGGCTGGGTCGACCTGTAAGGCCCCATACCATGATACATCTGTACAGTAATTTTTTATAATTTATAACTACTTCTCTTCTGTTTTCCAGCACTTAATATTCATTGCACCTCTTTCTCGCCCTCCTTCTCCTCTCCCTTCTTCTTCTTCTTCTTATTCTTATTATTATTATTATTAATATTATTATTATTATTAATATTAATATTATTATTATTATTATTATTATTATTATTATTAATATTATTATTATTTTTCTTCTTATTTTTATTATTATTCCTCTTTTTCTGTTTCTTCCTCTTCTTCTTCTTCCTCTTCTTCTTCTTCTTCTTCTTCTTCTTCTTCTTCTTCTTCTTCTTTTTCTTCATCTTCTTCTTCTTATTATTATTATTATTTTTCCTCTTCTTCTTCTTCTTCTTCTTCTTCTTCTTCTTCTTCTTCTTCTTCTTCTTTTTCTTCTTCATCTTCTTCTTCTTTTTCTTCTTCTTCCTCTTCTTCTTCTTCTTCTTCACCTTCTTCTTCTTATTCTTCTTCTTCTTCTTCTTCTTCTTCTTCTTCTTCTTCTTCTTTTCTTTTTATTCTTTTTCTTCTTCTTCTTCTTCTTCTTCTTCTTCTTCTTCTTCTTCTTCTTCTTCTTCTTCTTCTTCTTCTTCTTCTTCTTCTTCTTCTTCTTCTTCTTCTTCTTCTTCTTCTTCTTCTTCTTCTTCTCCTTCTTCTTTATCTTCTTCTTCTTATTTCTTCTTTTGAAGTCGGTCATAAGTTAGCCAGATCTTTCAATCATGTACTACAAAATATAGACGACGCCTTTGCGTTCCCAAAGACGCTGAAAAGACGGTGGGGTGGCGTTCAAATTGTCATGTCTCGCATGGATTCTGTTAAGTGTATATGTTTATATATCATAATACATTACAGCGCACACATTAGCCTGCTGTACCGTTATATGTCACATAAGGCGAGCATTGAAACAGAGGGTCTGGCCGGCTGACTAAACTCAGAGGAAAGGCAAAACAGACATTTAACCAGATTGTAATAGGTACCATCAGTATCGGAACTCTACGCTGGCTGCTGAAGACGAGAACGGAGCATGTATGGAAATGCCCTGAGTGATGTGATGTCAGTTCTTGACTCAACTCAACTCATAAGGCGAGCAGTCAATTATCACATTCTGTTGTGTCATATTTTGATGTCAATATCCCGTTTCAGGACCCCTGGCCTCACTAACAGACGTCTGAGGCAAAGTTTCTGTTGGGCGTTCTCTCTTGTATAATTTGTTTCTAATTTTAGTACCTATTTTGTGATTGTCAGCTTTGACGCAGATTGTGCAGTAAATTACATCTTATTTCTCTTATAACTGTTGGAACACAAAATTGTCCAGGCATTTCTCTTATTATTCATTGTATATTTGTTATACCTCTTTTGCTCTCTCACTTAGGAAATTTGCAGTCTCGGCAGTGCAGTGAGTGAGAAGACGACTGCTAGCCGGCCCGAAGTTCTTAGGTTCAGAGCTACAGGAAGTAGACTTTTTATGATTGACATCGGCTCCCAGATCAACCCAGCCTAAGGAGGTCACCACAAAATGTGGCTGGAAGAAAAGCTGACCAGCATGATACTGACCACATCTCTTATCAAGTGTGACTTGATAATCAAATAAAATAATATGGCATTATCTGCCCAGCGGTACGAAAAGGGTCCTCTACTTTCTTTAGTTAAGTAGAAGAATTTGTTTAATTATCATTTATACTTGATCGATCCATCAGTCCGCTATAAGCTGTTACCTAAAGGTTTACCAAACCATCCTGAGATTTATATATCTCAGTCTAGACTGCAGTCTGACAATGTTGATTCCAGATATCACTTTGAATGTTGCATTAGGAATCGACATCATAGCGTTCGGGATACTCTCATAAGCGCTCTGTTCCCATAGTTAGCAGCATGTTCTAATTCCGAAGGTACCAGTAACTGATTGCACATCCGTCTCTCTCGCCTTTCCGTTGAGTGTTGAACGTCGGCCATATCTCTGGTAACTCCCCGGCAGCACCTTTCTCCTCAGACCTTATGATCTATTTGTGCCTGGGCACTGTTTACTTGCTCCCAAAGGGTCATCACAACATTTAGCTTGTCATGCATCAATTTCTTAATTTCTCACACGATCTCTTCTGGTTTTGCTCGCAGCCTTTCTCGAGCATCTCATTTCACAGATGGCCAGTTTGCCTGCGTATTCTTTAGTTAATATTCAGCTATGGCATTGATAACCTAAAGTTTGAATAAAGACTGAATTTATAACTCATCTTTTTATCTCTGTTGGTTATATCAGGGGCCGTCTAGCTAAAACTGGAGTAAGTTGATATGCAATATACTGTCTAGTTTAATTGTTGTTTCTATCTAGTCTACCATTGTATGTAAAGATGCTCCCACCTCCCGCAAGTATTTATTACTATTTGTTGTCCAACTTTTAAGCTTTCAACATACATCCCCCTTTTCTCCCTCAAACGTTTTCATCTCTTATCTTTTCTACGGTGTTTTCCCAGACAAGAACAGTACAATTTATGTATTCTGCGTCTACCATGGATATCTTGTCTTCTTTTTCTTGGCGTTCACTGGCTGTGAACCATGGCGGAAACATCAGGTTGTTCTTCTACTCCCAAACTTGAGTTTTTCTTGTACATCCGTTTGACAAACAAAGTTTATCTGTACGCAGAAAGTTGTTTCTTGCTTTTCATGCAGATGCACTGCGACTTTGAAGGACACACCCGAAATTAGTCGCTCCCTTCCAAATGCTTATAAGGGGTAGCAGTACAGATACTCTATGTTCTCCAAAATAAGAGCTCTGGAACCCACACGGGGACTCTGGTTGTAGCCAATGGACTTCTCTTCTTCTTTTCATATGGGTCTGATGAGTGTTCTAGTAGCACCTGCAGTAATAAGTCCCTCGGCGTTTCTTTCCTAAGACCTTTCAATGTTGTTCATTTATTTGCTTGATATTCTCCACAGTCTTATATATCGTCTTTGTCATTTCTCTCCCCATTATCCGGTGTTTTAAAAACTTCTTCTAGATATAATAGGAAACAATATAAGCAACCTCTTATTGGAACAATCAGTAGAAGTGCAATAAAGTGACTGCTGCAATGGAGGGATGAGCAGTCATTAAATGTGATAATATAACATCTATTAATAAATCAATATCAAATAACATGCCAATGGCTTGGGCGACCATGATTCTTCCCATCTTGTTACCTCCAACAGCATACACGTAATCAGTTCGTGTGCTGATACATGGATACAGAAACCTGATGGTTCAGGCAGCTGACCCCCACCCACCCCTTCTTCCTTCACCCAACTATTATTATTACGCACTGAAACAATCCAATCTAATGATTTCTCTGTGGCGTCGCTCCTGTGCTGGCATCCTTCCCTTCCATAACAAACGACTCAAGAATCTTTTCTCACATTGCAAAAAATAAGTCCCTAGGCAACAATATGTGTACTTTACCTGGACTGTTCAGTGTAATATAATACGATCTTATTAATGAAGGGGTGGACTGTACTCCCCCAGTAGCATTTAAGCAGGACGCGTTCATTTTCATAAATTCAGTTACGTGGAAAGAGAATCACCGAGCATCGTGATTTGTGCTGTGCATTCTCATGGGCACAGTGGTTTTTGGAGAGTATACCACGTTTGTGTGTTCTACGTCATCAAACTGTTCGGCCTAAACACACGAATGTGTGTATAGAATATGTGTACCAGGTGATGCGTGTGTTTAAGGAAACGAACGCGCAGACTATCTTGCTGACACTGCGGTTGCTATGGCTGGTCCAGTACAGAAGTGATGTTGTCAATGCCATGCGCTGCACTTACCGTATCGAGGAACACGTTAAAGGACAGGACTCCGTATGCCTGTCTAGACTGATGGACATGGGTGTGCTTCCTGGAGCTGCAATAAATTAACGTTTCACTAACGGGACAAAATGTTTCATTGACCAAAACAGAACAGGCATCATCAATCGTTTTACACGTGTGAAGCTTTTGATGGGGAGATCGGAGCACCTATCGGTCTGTCCTGAGTACTGTGACGATAATTCTTTATAAACACTTATTCCACGAATGTGTCTAGTTAGCCATCATCATCATCACCAATCAGCAGGTCCTTTACAGAACGTCGCTCTCGTCACGACATGTTGGAAAGTCAACTGTCTAGTTGATTCTCCAGCCCTATGTGTTTTCATTGCCAATACATCTTCAGTATCCTGCATCTATCTTGGCTGAGGTCGGCTCCTGCCTTTTTTTTTAAACTACACTTGGCCACCGTTCCCCTCCCCCCTCCCCCTTCCGAAGCCATCATACCGTTTAACGTGGCCTAAATACCTCCGTTTTCGGGACAGCATTCTGTTTATGGACCAACAATGGTGACACAATGAAAGAAATTAAACGGCGATAATCAATTGCTCTTCAAAGACTAAAACAACTGAATAAATTATGGAATTGTACAGATAGAATTACAAAGGTCAGATTTTTAAGAGCATGCATCTTTCCCATTGCAACATACGCCTGTGAGACCTGGACGCAGGACATCTTGCTCAGGATAGGAAGGTTTTCCGGAGGGTTGTTATGGCAGCGAGGTTCCGCGAGGGACATGCTACTGAATGAATGAATGAATGAATGAATGAATGAATGAATTTGTCCACCGTATTCCGCCAATTATGTTGTGACATTTCAGTTCAAAAGCTCCCCGTGTTGGTTCCGGGGCCCTGTTAAAAG